GGAACACGTTTTCAGTTTTCAGACTTTTGAGGTTTCAGAAAATCCCATAAGGGATTGTGGAAATAAAATGTTGTTGTCCAGGTATCATGTTTTTCCTTTTCACAATCAACAGGACCATTTCCCCCTTTAGGAGATCAATGCTTGGCTCAGTGCCTAACACATAGAAGGCACCCAGAAAATATTTGTTGAATGAATGATTGAGACCAACTATGGCTTCTAGAAAACTCCTGTTACCACTGGGCTGCTGCTTTGGAGAAAATAGCCCTCTAGTTTTATCTCATTTCTTGTAAGTGGATGGAAACCTTATTGCTTCCCCTTGGCTCCCGCACAAGGACCAGAGGGGAGAGATGCTTATGGGTTCCTTTATTTTTTTTCCTTCTTCCTTCAGGCCTTGATTCTGAGGAAAGAGGATGCAGGCCCACTAGTTTTAGAGGGGGTGAGGTGAAGAGATAAAGATTTTACCTATTTGTTCTAGGTCTGAAAAGTAGCCAAACTCAAAATTGCCCTTTCTTAGCTTTCTTGTTCTGGGAATACCAACTTGATGTAGTAACCAACTCCATGAATATTCTGATTTTTTTTTTTTAGCACAGAGTGCTTAGTTTGTCAGCAATTGGGATTTCACAGGCTTGGCTCTACCAAGATCTCAGTTCAAATTCTGGCTCTGCCAACCCCCTGGCACATTACATAAACTCTTTAAGTTTCACTTTCTCATTTAGAAAATGTACATGATGACAACACACGGGAACCTCATTGTGCTGTTGTGAGGATTAAAGGAGATCGTACCTAGAAAGGATTTGTCACGAAACTTTTGTTGTTGTTGTTGTTAATAGTAATAATGATGGTGATAATATTAATCCTCTTTTTCATTGTGGTGACTTAGCAGAAACCCACACCAGGGGCAGATAGAATCTCCACCGTTCTCCCTACCCTCGCATCCTTTGATATGGACTGTATTAGTCAGGCTGGGCTAAGTTATGCTCTGGTGACAAACACCCGCGCCCGCCCCTTCCCGCCCGCCCCACAACCTCTGTATCTTAACACCACAAAAGTTTATTTCTGGATCGTGCACATTTCTCCGTGGACCCAGATGACTCTGCAGGCCAGTTGTGTGCTGTGTTGGCTCCACCCTCCAGGCTGTTTTGCTCTTAGGCTTCCTCCATAGCAACACATGTTTCCACAGCTGTTGCCGCCAGGGGAGGAGACAGCTTGGCGATTCGCACCTTCACTCTTGGGAGCTTCCACCCTGGACATGACTCATGTCTCTTCCAGTCCCATTTTACTGGATAAAGCAAGTTACATGGCTCTGCCTTACTCCAAAACAATGGGGAGGACAGTCCTGCCAAGTGCCTGGAAGGAAAGGAGAACTGGAAGTGTTGGAGAGAGGTGCTACTGTTGACCGCACTCTGTTGTGAATGGCTATTGCAAACACAGCTTCGGCCCCAGCACCGTTCCCAACCAGGTGGCGATCCTGAAGCTCCTGCTATACAAAGATTCTGGAACTGCCATTGTCGCAGACGATCTTTGGAAATCATTGAGCTGGCTCTGACCTAGGGAACACAGAGGAAGTAATTTCTGTGTGCTTGAAGTGAGTCATACCTGCTGGACCGGAGCCCCTCACCCCCAGGGTTTTCCCACTACCCTTCACCCTCCCCATGATATTGGATAGTGGTGTTAACATTGTTCCTCAAGTTGGAGAGTACCCAGGAACTCCCGTTATTTTCCGAGTGAGGAAACAGAGGCCCAGGCAGTCTGTGTTTTTGTTCCCTGTGTTCTGTGGCTCTCCCAGGGTCCCAGTAGTTCATGGCCCATCACTAGACCCACGTCTGGGTGGAGGCCTCCCGGTTCTGCCTGGTGACTTTCTGCTGTCCACCTCGTCCATCATCTGCACTTATTCATCCTCCTTTAGGAGCCAAAACATCCCAACCGCAGTAACTGGGCTTGTCTGGCTTTCTGTTCTATTTTTGGTCCCTTCTAAAGCTGAGGCTGGATCCATGCTTTGCTTGTTGTTCAGAGCTGCCAACAAGGGAGGATCTTCAGGACCTTTTTATTTCCTTCCAGATTTTTTGTTGTTTGTTTCCAATTGGAGGATATGGGACATTTTAACAGTTGCCGTCAGACAGACTAAACTATCACCATTTTAGAATGAGAGTGAGAAATTCCATGAGATTCACCCCTGCCATACACACACCTTCCAGAGTTCCTATTGATATTTTAATGAAACTCTGCATTTATAGGATCTTTGGCCAGACAGTAAAATACAGTTCATGCTTGTACTTGTGTAGAATCCCTCTGTGCTACAAAAAGGGGCACAGACACCCCCGGAATGGCTCTGAGACTATGTCTTGCTCCTGAACTTGTGAGCTACTGTCACGTGCTACAGTCACAATGCGCCTATCAGTGTCTCCAGACTATTGTAACTGGTTCTAACTTTTGAGACACCATGAAACTTGAGGCCTCCAGAGCCTGGGTTTTCAAAGTGTGGATTGAGTAAGAATCACCCGTGCTGTGTGCTAACAATGCAGATTCCTGAGCCGGCCACCAGAGATTCTGATTCAGGGAGTCTGGGCAGGGGCCCAGGAATCGGCATTTTCACAAGCATCCCACCCAAGATGATGCAGAGCAGTGTTTCCTAAGGTTCCTTGTTGATGCTGCCTCACCAGGGTGGGGAGACCACAGGGGAGGCATCCCACCTTCGGCCAGGGCAGCACCGCTTTGAGCCATTGTAGAAATGAGGCTTCAGTCTAAGGTTTGTTCTACTGATAAAAACAGACATAAAATATTTGAGTAAAAATTTTTAGAATTTTTTACTGCAGAAGAAAGAGCAGTCCAGCAGTGGCTTTCTAAAAACCACCCTTTTCTTGGTGTGGCTTCATCTTCTATACAGCATGTGTTTGCTTTCTGACCCTTTGGTGGAGTTATTATAATTATCCTGTTTTCATGCCCGAGGGGGAACTGAACTGCAGCGATTCTGCTCCTCAAATCCCAGGTCACTGGGTCTTGGCAGAGGCCTCTGTGTCAGTTTTCTGCCAGGTACCTTAGACCCAAGGGAGGAGAGGCCTATTACTGCCCTTCAGAGCTCCCGAGGCCCCATTTGGAGCAGGCCTTGGGAGAGAAATGGCTTCTCTCTTGGACTCTAATGGATTGCAGTTGAAGGTCAGGAATTTGCATTTCCACTTAGCCAATACGTGGTGGCCCTTACCTGTTCCCTTTCAGTAGGCTGGATGTTGCATCTAATCTGCCTACCGCACTTGACAAGGTCTCCAAGTGATCGGGATTTTTTTCCCCAAAGTCGGAAGGCACTGAGTATCAGGGGGGCCTCGTATTTGGATCTGATAAATTGGAGGGACAAAGGTGGCCATCTTGTGTCACTAGTACTAAGAGCACTGACACCCGAGGCTGCTGATCACGGGTGAAGACCTGAAGGCACAGGGGCAGATGTGTTAAATTGTGTGTAAATGGTATTTTTTCCTGTGAGGTCTCAATATCTCCCTTAGGACCTTGCAGCTGATGGTTTTGAGCCACTCTCCTCTGATATTTACTCGTTGGGGATTTTACTCTTGGGAAATCGCTGTGGCAACAGAACTGTTTTGCCTCCATGAAGACGATGTCACAGTCTTAAAATCCAGGACGTTTTAAGGCAGGATTCCAACCTCATTACTGCCAGGCATAACATTCATCCAAGGTGGAAGTGTCCTCTCTTAGAACTCAAATCTGTCTCAGAATGGCTTTTCTTTCCCCTTTGTTTTTGAAGCTAAGCAATTACATTTTTTTTTAAGAAAAAAAAATTGTGCTAATGCACAAAACTCTCTTTTTTGCCTTTCATTTATTTGAAATTGAACTTAAAAAAGTCAGTTCCAAGCAAGCACTCTATATGAGTAATGCTTTTTGTCCATAAAAGAGCATTGACTCGAATGGTATGGGAGCGCTGATTCTCTCTGCTTTGTGTGAGCGTCCACAATGACAAAGTGCTCATGTCAGAGTGTATAATGAAACTATAAATTGTTTTCATGAATGCTCTGAATTTGGTCTTTTACGGGGCAAATTCAAAAGGTATTTAGTGCCACATTTCACATATGTGAATAACACCAGAGGGTGCAATATATCCAATGAAAGTAGGGTCCCAGACGGGCTCACAGTGGCCCATGTGGTGGGTGATCGTCAAGTGAGGGTGGTTCAGGTTGGGTAGAGGGGAGAAGGAAGGAGGAAGATATCCTGTAACTCTGAGGAAGAGTTCCAGCTAGGTACACCCAACTGTTCTGGGATAATTCAAGGTGTGGCTAAAATACATAGCTCCTATAATCCGTCTCTGAGTGGTAGGTGCCTGTATTGGAATCAAGTTGTGCATATTTTGGCCAAGTGCGTGAACAAAAATTCTCAAGTGAGAAAACGTCTGCTGGGTTGCATGGGCGGGTGCAATCTATTGCAGTGATTTAAGGTTCATTAAATTATATTTAATAAGATTTTTTGTATTTTTTAATTATAGAAGCCATATGGGTTTATTCTAGAAAATTTAGAAAACACAGAAAAGCATGAAGAATAAAATAAAAAAACACATGCAAATAATTTTGCTACCAAGAGGTAATTGCTAGTAATATAAAAAATTTTTATTAAATATCTTTCTGTGTATATCATTTTATCTTATCTAGATTTAGAAACCCTTTTTAAACAAAATTGGGGTCCAGCTGTCTATTTATTTATGTAATTTTTAAAAAGTATTCTACTGTTTTACTTGTTTGTCAATTAAATTATTTTATCTGTCCTAGTTTGCCAAAGTTCATGAAGGTCCAAGGTTTTGGTTCTGTCATGAGGGGAATAAGTCAGGTACCGGAGCAGACTTTAGGTACATATGTCATTCACTAAGGAATGTCTCTGGGTGTATGAGCTCTAAAAACAAAAAAAGGCAACAAGACAAACCAATCCAGGGTGGGTTAATGCAGTGCGTGTTATATGGAGGCCGGTTGACCTTTCTGACTAGTCGTTTCCATTTGTTGGCTTTGCAGTACCTAGTGTGTAAAAGGAAGCTAGAGAGCAAAAAGGAAGCCCTGCTGATCCTGTCCAAGGAGCTGGACACATGCCAGCAGGAAAGGGACCAGTACAAACTCATGGCCAACCAGCTCCGAGAACGCCACCAGTCCCTGAAGAAGAAATACCGGGAGCTGATCGTACGTGTTAACGTCACAGTGACGTTCTTACTCCCTCACTGAGATAGAAAGAGGGGATTTTTACATGCTGTGTCTGCAAAAAAGGATTGAATCCAAACAGTTCCAAAGTGGAAAAATTAAGAAGTGAAGGTTGTCACTCCTGTTTCCTCCACAAGCCAGTGCCACTCGCTAGTCGAGACGTATATGCTTCCGGGCTGCTTGCTCGGGCACCTGTGAAATATACACGTGTACGTGTGTGTTCGTGTGTGCCTCTTTACTGATTAACCTATTTATATGGAGTTTTTTAAGAGGATTCGTATTGTAAATCTGCACTGTCTAATACAGAAGCCACCAGCCACGTGTGGTTATTTAAATTTCATTTTAAATTAATTAGGATTAAATAGAATTGAAAACTCAGGTGTTCATCTCATTTATCACGTTTCATGGGCTCCATCACCCTAGGTGGCTGGGGGCTACTGTAGTGGACAGTTAGCTATAGGAGATTTCTATCACTGCAGAGAGTTTTATTGGACAGCATTGTATAAATCTTGTTCTATAAGTTACTTTTGTCACTCAGCACTTTATTTTGGACATCTCTCTAGGCCATACATAGAAATTTGATTTGTTTTTAAGAATAGTTGCATAGTAATATTTCCATATTTTTCTTTAACTTTCCCTTATCCTGGGCATTTAGATTTTTTCTAGATTTTCATATGGTAAGATTTTTAAGGATGCAAATTATACTGAAATGGAGGATACCAACTGCGTACTGCTATTTTGCATTCTTGCTCCATTTTTCCTCACTGATGCAATCTCTTTTTTAAGTGCTGACACTATTGCTAACATTTAACCATCTGTGCCGGGATCATTGAACTGACCTGGAACAGAAATAGAGTAGAAAGATTCCTCAGGTTAAAATAGCGTTGACCTCTATGTGGACTGCATCAGATAGAAGAATACTCGTTTACTGAGCATTTACTCGTTAACCTGAGATATTTGCATTCCCAGATGGCACACAAAGGAGAGGAATTGAAGTTTTAAGACAAAAAGTCTGATAGGACTGGAAGTTGTCAGTTAATTTTCTTTTATTTTGAGCATATCCTCCTATACCCACCCCCCAAAATTATTTTGCCGATAGGAAAGACTCAAGTTGTGTGTGTGTCCGTCCATTACTATTTCTTTGGATCTAACTATTTAAAAGAGGACCTCAACTCAAACCAAATGAAATATTATTTCAGTTTAGGCTCTGCTCAAAAAGAATTTTGATAAATCCAATTTATTTATTTATTTAGGTTCACATAGTTTTAGAAAATATATCCGTTTGGTCCTAATTGAAACTGATTCCCTAGAGGTTTTCCCAAAGTAACTCTGGTTCAGTTTACAGTTCATTTTTTTAAGTATACTTGAAGTTGGTTCAGCACATTACTGGTTTCAGGGGGCAGGAGTGGGGAGGGTCTGAATTTAGTTCATAGTTTGATTCAATTCCTTGAATGTAAGCACATCTATATTTTTTTAAAATAAAGTGTAACCTTTGTTTCTTTGTAGGATGGAGATCCATCACTTCCCCCTGAAAAGAGGAAACAGGTAATACTTATTCTTGATTTTTAATAATTCTCAGATTGTGCATATTGATGCCTTACAATTGGGGAGATTAGGGAATCCCACAATGTATAGAGAAATCTTTGAATTTCCCAGAATCCTTTTGTATTCCTGCGGGGGGAGTGGGTGGTAGAGAGATACTGACTACAGAGAGGGGTTAGGGTTGGGGTGAAGGAAACCCAGTGTTGTCTGACAGGGTGGAAGAGGACCCCAGTTGACTGCATTCCCTTTCTTGTTGGGAATCCTGTTGGGACCCATGAGTGAGGGCTCACGGCTGTTGCACTTTACTGTTGCTGTTACTTTACGCTTCACTGTTCCAGGATGGATACTATTCTGCCGTTTAGCTTCTGCCACTTTAGACTTTTAAAAGCCATCCTACTAGCAAAACTCACAAGCCATTTATTTTCTTTTCTCCTGAATGGTAGCCAGCATTGCTTATTGACGAATCCATTTTTTCCACACGGATTTTAGATGTCCACTTTTATCAATGAACAAATTCTTATATATACACGTTGGATCTGTTTCTGAACTTTCTGTTCTGTTCCATTGAGCTTCCTGTACAGTCCTCGTCCCATATTGTTCTGTTTTTGCATGATAATACTTTTAATATCTCTTTGGGCTAGTCTTCTTCCCTTTGCTCTTCCTTTTCAGATGTTTCTTATTTGTTAGTTTTTTTACATAAAACTTACAAACATTTTATCAAGCACTCCTCTGACTCCACCAAAAAAACCCCCATACCTATTGGTATTTTGATTGGGGTTTTGTTAAATTTATAGATTAATCTGGGGACAGAACACTTTCATAACATTACCTCCAGGAATATGGTACATCAGATTTCTTTTAATCCAGTTGCATACATACATACATGTATATATTGCTTTTTCCAAAGATATCTTTGTTAGAACTTTCCTTAACTCTACAATTGTTCTGTATACTGACATGCCCTGAATTACAGCCTTTTATGGGCTTCAAGGGAGCCTGGATGATGGTGATGTTAATGCTGTGTGTTCCATGTTATGGGGAAGCCTCTGCACCAGAGCAGGGCTTCAAAACTGGTAGATGCAATAAGGGCACATGTATTCTTTGGTCTCTTCCTAGCTGTAATGGCTAACTCAGCATCCTGTTTTTGTTCATTGATCATATACATGGCACTGCATATAAACTCCTTGAGTTCATTACCTTGTGATTTTTGATGCTGAGTAAACAGTATGCCCAAAACACACATACACACACACACGCAGTCACACAGAGGATGTTTACCCTTAAATAGCAATTCAGTCCTGTGGTCATCTATTCAGTCACTCAGTTCTGCTCACTCCTGTACTCCCTTTCTATTTTATTTGATTATTTTCTAATGCTCCAGGTTTGATCTAAAATCCGATTTTTCTATGGAACTAATTGATGTTTTTTTCTAAACAAAATTACGTGGAAATTTATCATAAATGTTTAAAAATTAGAATCCTAAATCTGGAATTGCTGGATGTTTTTGTATTTGTGTTTTTGGTGGCTATAAGCAGTCATCTTTGCTGTGGTTTTAGAGTTTGTTAGTATTCATGGAGGAGTTTTACAGTTTAAGTGAATTCACGTTCCGTGACGTTATAATAAAAAATTTACATCGACTGAGGAGAATCTGATGAATTCCAGTGAGCCTGTCAAGCTGCTTTCTTACAGCTCTGAAAAAACAAGTTCAGTGTCCTAAGCTCTGGCTTTGTAGCTTTTAATGTCGTGTTTAGTTTCTGTCCCTTTAGGATTTGATATGGTGGTCTGAGTTTGGACTCTGTGGCCTTCTTGCTGGGTTGGAACCATCGACTTGCTGCATAAGATAGGATGCATTGGGGTGCAAGTGACAGAAATTCTAAACTGGTCAAACAATAAAGGCATCGATGACCTTACATAACCAGAAGTTCAGAGGTAGTGCGGGCTTCAGATGCTGTACAGTCATCATATACTTACTCTCTCCACTGTGCCACACTTAGCAAATGAAAAATACAAGACACTCAGGTAAATATGAATTTCAGATAGACAATGAATACTTTTTTAGTATACAAGCCTGTCCCACACTATATTCGGGGCATACTTATACTAAAACATTATTCATTGTTTATCTGAAATTCAAATTGATCTGGGCGTCCTGTATTTTATCTGACCGCTCTACCATTGTGCCACTTTTAACATCTGCTTCCTCTTGAATTTAGCATCAGCTTCCTCCTAAGGCTGGTTTCCTTAAGCAGGAGAGGCAGAAAACCCAGCCATGGAACATAAGTCCTTCCCTCCAGTGTGACTGGGCTGGTGTAGGACATGCTCCCATTCCTGGTCTACTAACATTCACCAGGAGAGGACTATACATTAATTGGCTCAGATTAATCACCTGGAATGGAGGGCCATTAGGGAGCCAGCAAACTAATTGTGTGGCCTTGGGAAGGTTCTTTTGGGTGTCTGAGTCTCAGCTTTCTCATCCATAAAATGGCAATAAATATGGTGCCCACCACATGGTGTGGCTAAAAGGAGCAAATGAAATAACGCAAGTAGAGTCCTCAGCACAGTGCCTGACACAGGGTGAGCATAAATAAATATTTATCGTCCTCTCCTCCTCATCATCATCCCTTTTTTAAAAATCAATTGTGTATTAGTATGTTGATTCTGTCCACCACTGCCCTTGTCAGGACCGTTTTGGTTACACTTGGCAGCTTGAAGTATCTTGGGCCAAAGAGGACTTTCCTGGCTCATAGGACCTCAGAAGGGTTGGTTGAGCAGCCACCATGGGAGGCAGAAATGCAGCCGGGCCTCAGGAACAGCTACCACGAGGGCTCGGGTGCCCCCAGGTCCCTCCACTGCCCTGAGTTCTCTCTGTGTCAGTCATCATCTCTTTTTCTGGACTTCCTTTCTCTGTAGACTGGGAAACATGGCTGCTGATGGCACGAGGGCTACAGACTCCACATCTTTGATCACTAGAAAAAGCTGCTCCCTGAGTCTCAGGGGAGAGCTCCCCTAGGCCAGGCTCAGGCCAAGGGCCCATTTCAGGGTCAGATGGGCATGGCCAGGCATCCTGTAGACACAAGGCAGCTTCTACTACTGTCATGTTGAAAGGGTGCTGAGTAGACAAGGTCATAACCATTGACTCTACACGCCTTCTTAAGACAGTCTTGGAATGACAGATAATAATGATGGCAGCCAATGTTTCTGAGTGCTCACTCCTGCAGTGTGCTGGACCCTGTGCCCAGCGCTACACGGTGGATGATCTCATTTAGTTCTCACACAACATATGAGGTAGGTGCTCTTATTATTATGGCCATCTGACAAATGAGGAAATTGAGGCCTATAGTGGTCAAGGAAATCACCCAAGGGAAGTGACGTAACTAATTGGTGATGGAGCCAGAGTTTGAACCCCTGCAGTGCACTCAGAGCTCATGCTCAGAACCACCATGACTCGGTATTTACTGAGCACCTTATGGGCGTCTTGTGCTAATTTAGACAGTAGGGACACAGGGGTGGAAAAAGTCAGATCCCAATCCCAGAGCTTACGGAAATTCCGTTGTATTTAGGGTGGCCATACGTCCGGTTTCCCAGGACCATCTCCATTGACACCTCTTCTCCTGGCATAATTGGTATTAGTGCTCTCTTTTGCTCTCGAAGGTGTCTTGGTTTGGATGATAAATAATATAGTCATCTTAATTTTTGTGGAGATGCTATGAATTAAATATATAGGATGTTAAATGGTGATCAGTGCTACAGGAGAAAGATATAGCCCAAAGCAAGGGAGAGAATTCTGGCTTAGTAATGGAAGGAATGTCTTGATAAATAGTGGGGGAAAATCATTCCACTACTTGGAAAAATGAAGAATCTTACTCATTTAAAATATATACCTTTAAATTTTGTTTACCTTTAGTTAGTTAATTTATTTAAGCATGTGGTTGCTTTTTGGGTAGAGGGTGTTAAGATGCCCTCTTCATTAGCTCAGTGTGGGGAGGGAAATGCACCATTAAATTTTTACGCACTGGTTATAATGAAACCTTCCATTTAGCCAGAAGCAGACAGCCTTGGCACACATATGCCAGTATTGGAAGAGAGGCACAATTACTTTCTAAACTTTTTCATCAGCAGGAAGTGGGTAGAAGTGTGCACTCTGACCTAGTGTCTCCTATATTACATTGCATGTTTATCCCAAAGGCAAACAGTGGGTGAAGTATTTACCCCTCCAGCTGCAAAGCAAATGAACCTTGTGTAAACAGAAGACCCTGGGACAAGAACCAGCAGCCTGGTTAACAGATGGGGCAAGGAGGTCAAGAGATCCACATATTGGAAAAGGAGAGGATGCCACATTGAGCATTTTGTTGCCCATCAGCCTTGAAGCTGTGGGGCAACTTTACTCAGAAGGAAGAATTTCTATGATCTCTCCTTACTGGACTCTTCCCCTGTTTTTTGACTCAGGGGGAGAGATTGCTATGATCACTCTGTTTGTGTCCCCCAAAATTCATATTGAAACTCTACTCCCCAGTATGATGGTATGTGGAGGTGGGGCCTCTGGGAGGTAGTTAGGATTAGATGAGGTCACGAGGGTGGAGCTCTCATGAATGGGATTAGTGCCCTTATAAGCATCACCAGAGAGCTTGCTTTCTCTGCTCTGCCCTCCACCATGTGAGAATACAATGAAAAGTCTGCAACCTGGAAGAGGGCCCTCCCTTTGCTGGCACTCTGATCTCAGATTTCTGGCCTCTAGAGCTGTGAGAGATAAATTTCTGTTGTTGATAAGCCACCCAGTCTGTGGTAGTGTGTTATAGCAGCTCAAGATGACTATAAATGTATTGAGGGTTCTTCTCAAACGTAGGTAGAAACAGTACCACATCTTCAGTCTTTGTGGTGCTTTGTACTTTTCGGAGACCATGTATGCATGCATGTATGTATGTGTGTATGTATGAAATCTCCCAACTATCTTCTGAGGTCACACTGGCAAGTTTGGTCTTCCATAAATTTGCAAGGCAGCGTCA